TAGAATCTTCTGATATTAAGTTTAATTTTCTTACTTGGTTTCCTATACATTGGACAGATACTTCTCTACTATGTCTAAAAAATTGTGTTCTTGTTTCAAAAATTCCTCTATTATATAATATTTCTGGATTAAGAATTCTTAAACCATTAGTTTGAAATCTTTGGAAATCTTGTTGAGGATCTATGATTTCTTCTATATTTTGATTATATTGTACTGGTCTATTTAATACTCTTTCTATTATATTTCTGCTTATACTTGAAGTACTACGTCTAGATGTAGATGGTTCTTCATTTATCGTTCTAGACCTTCCTAAGAAGGAATTGGTATTCATCTTGAAAATTTATATTCTTTAGGTAATTTCCTAGTTACCTTTTCTTTTCCTGTATCTCTGAAACTTAATTTTTCTAATGTAGTTGTTAAAGATTTTAAGTCTTTTTCTACACTTGATGTAGTTCCTATTTCTATTTCTTTAGATTTATTAGAATCTAAAATTCTTTTTATTTCTGTTAAATCTACCTTAGTTGGTATTTTTTCTAATTTAACAAGTTTTTCTAAAATACTTGAATTTTGATTTTTAATATAATCTAAAGATTCTTTTATATTCTTAATCTCTTGGTCTCTGGCTGTAATGTTTTCTTTTATAATTTCTAAGTAACTATTTTGCTTTTTATTTTCTAATTCTAAATTTCTTGATAAATTTATAATTAAGTCTATTATACAATTCTGACTTGGATCTTCTGAAAATAAACTATGTAATTTATGTTTATTATCTAAATTACACTTAATTGTACTATTATCAACTGTTTGTACTTTTTTACTAGTACTTCTTAAAATTTCTAAATCTAAGAATTCAAGCTTTCTATTAATATCCAGTTTAATATTCTAATCTGAATAATAAAAAGAATCTAATGAAAAGTTTGTATGATCTGATAAATAATTATTATCTATATTATTTAATTCAATACTTAATTCTAAATCTGTTAAGAATATCTGGTCAAAATTATTTATAAAATATTCTTCTCTAAATTCTGAAATTAAAGATCTATATAAAATCTGTTCTTTTAATTCTGGATTTAAATCTTTAGTTACTTGTAAGATAGCAAATAAATAGTCTATAGATTTATATTTTTCAAAAGAAATTAATTCTATGCCGTATTCCAAAATCTCTTATATTTCTTTATAAAATGTAAAACTATAGAATATTTTTTCTAAGTCTACAAGTAAAATTCTAAAATTAAGTGTAATTTAGATAATAAACATAAATTACATAGTTTATTTTCAGAAGATCCAGGTCAGAATTGTATAATAGACTTAATTATAAATTTATCAAGAAATTTAGAATTAGAAAATAAAAAGCAAAATAGTTACTTAGAAATTATAAAAGAAAACATTACAGCCAGAGACCAAGAGATTAAGAATATAAAAGAATCTTTAGATTATATTAAAAATCAAAATTCAAGTATTTTAGAAAAACTTGTTAAATTAGAAAAAATACTAACTAAGGTAGATTTAACAGAAATAAAAAGAATTTTAGATTCTAATAAATCTAAAGAAATAGAAATAGGAACTACATCAAGTGTAGAAAAAGACTTAAAATCTTTAACAACTACATCCTGAGTCTATTAATCCTAAACATTTTATTTCATATTGTCCTATTCTTATATAACATTTTACCTTAATACTTTTAAGTTTTTCTGGATTACATATTACTTGAACATATTCTTTTTCTTTATATTCTAAACCTTGACTATGTTCTTCTATTTCTATTGCTTTTCCTTTATTATTATATTCTAACATTTCTATCTTATTTATTATAAATTTCTGCATTTCTTCTAAACTTTCAATTCTTTTCCTAAGAATTTTTATTTCTGATATTTCAATTTTTTCTTTTAAAATTTCTGAATTAACTTCTTCTTTTTCAATAAGATTTTTTTCTTCTAAGCATTTTATACATGCTTCTTTATAACATTCTAAACATTTGGCTCTAAGCTTTCTTACTGGGTACCAATTACATAAATAACAAGCTATATTATCTGCTCCTTTATATTTTTGCCAATTATGTAAACATTCTATAGTTATATATATATCATTCCAAACTGTAAAGTTGGGTAAAAATTGTCTTCTTCAAAGATTATATAATCAAAGGAAATTGTTGGATAATTGTGTTTAATAAAGGCTGCATCGTATTTGGGACCATGTTTAAGGAAGTATCTGTTTTTATTATGATAGTAACTTTAAATTTGAGCAAAATTTATAATTTCCTGTACAACGAAATTCTTTATAGAACTTCAAACAATACTGGCGGAATCACCAATTTTCTGTTATAATTCGTATAAAGTCTTTTCTTATCCTGCAGCTGTAGAATCTGTTAGTTCAATAAGTCTTTCTATTTTATCAAAATAATTTCTACTTGTAGAGGCGATGTCTTTAGAAATTAGCTTTTCAAGTGTATCTCTAGAACTAAGTCTGTCTAAACTATTATACAATTTAAGAATCTCATTTTGATATTTACTAATAATTTGTTGGGATGAGGAAATTTGATCTTCAAGAAGTTGTAGTCTTTTTTCTAAAAAATGCTTTCCAAGATTTAAATTTCTAACAACTTTGATCATAGTTTCACAACCATCACAGAGTTGTATTGATGAAGATAATGACGAAGTTTGAGAGGCAGTTTGCATGCTCTGTCTAATCTTTCGGATATATGAAAATTAAATCTTATCAATTTTCTACACAAAATTTAAAGCTTCTTCAAGCGTATAAAATTATTTGAAAAGGGGGTCGGGAAATCTTTCTACTTGTTGTAGTACTTCTGACCAATAATTATATATACCAGGCTTTCTACCTTTAATTAATGCAAAGAAACTAAAATTTTTGCTTTCTGCTTGATTATGAATCTGTCTAAAATGGTTAGCCAGGGCATTTATGCTGTCTAATTTTTGTTTAGAGTCTCGTGCCATTCAAAGATTATCCAATAGACAATGTTCCTTTTCTGGTAGTCTTTCTAAATTATTTCCTCTGAATCAAAGATTAGATCCTTGAGGGGTCACTCTCAGAGTGATATTCCCAAAGTTCATCATCCTTTCATCCATCTGCACTGTGAAAATAATGAGTTAGAAAATTAATAACTTTCCTACTTAAATTATCCGCTAAAATATTATTTTTCCGTTAATATGTTCTATATTAATTTTATAGCTGCTTAATCTCTTATATAATTTCAACTATCTTTTATGTCTTATCTTATCAAAATTTGTCTTTTTAATAAATTTTACTATAACTTCACAATCTGTTATAGTTGTAAGTTTAGTGTTTAAAAATAATTTAAAACTCTTTATACTATGTATGATGACCATTATTTATAATCTAAACTAGTTAAATATTTTCATTTTATCTTGTATTTTTGGCTAGCATATCTACAAATTTTGCCTTCTTTTTTATCACCATATTTATTTGGTTTGGAATATAAAACTCATCTTCATCCTAATTCACATTCATCTGTTTATATTATTTTATAGTTACTATCTAATAGTAATTCTAATGGTGGTAAATTTTTAACTTTTGCTTTTATCTTTTTAACTAATTCTATATTTGATTGATTAAAATATTTTTGTCATTTGCTAGACAATTTACTATACAATGATCCTACTTTTCTTCCTAAATCTTTAATAAAATGTCTAACATAATTTAATATTCCTAAAAAGGCTTGTAATTTCTTGATTTCTTCAATTTTGTCTGAAAATTGTAAAAATTGTTTGTACTATATGTGACTATAACTGAATCTTTCATTCTCCTAAAATTATTCTTAAAAATTCAATTTTATGTTTATTTATTTTCATCTTCTTTTTAATTATAATTAAACCATTTTCTATAAATTTATTCAAGGTTATCTCTAAATGTTTCATATGTTATTTATAATTTTTACTATGTACTAGAATATCATCTATATATATACAACCAAATGAAAGAGAATTAAATATACTATCCATCTTTTTTTTGAAAAATAGAGGGTGCATTTTTTTAATCTAAAAGGCATGACTAACCATTCAAAGTGTCATAATGGAGTAGTAAAAGATGTCCAAGGAGTAGAATCATTTGTCATTTTTATTTGTCAAAATTCAAATTTACAATCAAATTTAGAAAATATCTTACTATTTTGTATTTTTTATTTATTAGCATATCTTTATTTGGTATCTTATGTCCATCTTCTATAGTATTATCACTTAATCTTTTATAGTTTATAATCATTCTTGCTTTTCCTCTTTTTATTTCACTATGATTTCTAACCATAAAAGTTGCTGAACTGTGTTGACTATTAGATGATTTTATTACTTTTATAGCTAATGATTTTTTAATCTGTATATTAAACTCTTCCATAACTTGATTCCCATGTTTTATTTCTACTGTTCTAATTTTTATATTTTCATTTATTATTTATAATTTAGCTTCAATTTTATTTTTATCCCAATATTTTATAGTGTCTTCTTCTATTATTTGAATCTGTTCAACTAGTTCTAAAGTTTTTTCTATACTATCTATCTTAGAAGAAGTTTTGTTAAAAATTATTAATTCTTTATTTTTTGGTATTAAAATAAATTATCTAAAAATTCTAAATTTTCTTCAATTTCAAAATTTGAGCATTTCAAAGTTTAGGCCCCGCTTGGTAGGGATTTTTTGTCCCAAAAAATTGATTTTTTTGATCGTTATTTTACTATTCAAATCGTAATTTTTGACTTCTTCTCTCACATGTGGACCCCACTTTTCTTCTAAAGATCAAAAAATCAGTTCTCAAAATTTTTACCAAATAGACTCTTAGAAAACTAAAAAAGATATTTTTCAAAATTTAGTGTTTAAAATTCTTCTATCTCAAAGTTTAACGGTGTAATGGAAAGTCAAATATCCACTTCATCAGTCATGTCACCAATTTGTCAGATGTCAGTGAAAAACGTACAATATTTTTTTAAAATTAACTAGTGTTTTTTGATAAGTTGGAACGATTAACTTGTGTTTCTTTTACCCAATCACTAGTGCAGTAATAAAAACAGCAAATATACATCCTTCTTCCCCCGTAAATCCTTCTCGATCCCTCCAACTCCCCGGGTGCATAAATATATCTGCGTATACGGTGGAATTCATTCATCAAGAAGGGTTATCATGATCTAATCCGGAATCAGTAAGGGATCGATTCCTTTTCCTTCTCTCAAAATTTCATGTAATTTCACCTTTTTGTATTCTTTGTTATGGGTTTTGTTTTGTTTTCAACTTATTTTATTGCATCATCTTCATATACTCAATAAATTATATTATTGCATGATCTTTATGTAAATAAAGATTCATTTTTTATTAGTATCACTGTATGCAAGTATGCATTAGGGTTAATTAGATTTCGGTTAATACTTTCGTGCAATTAAGTAGGGGATCAGAAGTGATAAGTGAAAACTACTCATAGACGAAGAGTGATTGTCGATGGCAAGCACCGCGTGTTTCATGATTGTCAGCAGAAACGATATTCCAATTTATGAAGCTGAAGTCGGCAGTGTCCCTAAAGTATGCCTTATTTACGCCTTTGATTTTCAATTAAATTACTTTTTAACTTTATTTTTATTTTATTTTATCACACATTATTGCAGAAAGAGGATGCCGCGCATCAGCACCAGTTTATTTTACATGCTGCTTTGGATATTGTCCAAGATCTCGCGTGGACTACTAGTGCTATGTTAGTATTGAACCTTAATTAACTCCGTGCATATGGTGTGTGTTAGTTTATTGATTGCCCTTTGTTGTACTAGTCCTAATTATCGTTTGCCTCTTTTGTGAACCAGGTTTTTGAAAGCAATTGACAGATTCAATGATTTGGTAGTTTCTGTATATGTGACTGCAGGTCATATCCTTTACTTGTTCTTTTTTAATCTAATATATTGCTCTCTTTTTTAAATTTTAGAAGAATAAAACACAAGTTATTGATGGAGCATTTAGCAATGTGCTTTTATTTTTCCAGTTTGTATGCAACTGCAGTTCGCTGCACTCCTTCAAAGTTGATATTGCTTCTTTCCCTTAATACTTCACTCAGTAGCTTACTTTTTTCCTTAACTTAAAGAATCACATAAAAGTGGAAGTTAAAAGGAACTTGTTTACCACCACCCCTCATGGTTGTTTTGATTCCTATGCTGCTTTTAGATTGACATATACATCCTTAAATCTATTTTTGGATGACAATGGAGTTTGGCAATGGATTTGGAGTCATAAATTTTCGAAGTTGTCAAATGCTATTTTCCTGTATATTATTTCCTACTTTGGTGGAATCTTGAAGAATATTTCATCTCTGAGGAAACTTTGTTTTGTTTATCAATCTACTATTGTGTGCTAGTCCTGAAAGAATTGACTAATTTTGAGATCATTGCTGAATTTTCTTGTCTGGGCTGTAAAGTCGAGACGAAAGACTATTATTCTGATTTAAATCCATGCTTGAGCTATTGCTAAAGTCTGGATACTTTGGATACTTTTCCTTCGTATAAATTATTTCACAAAATTTGTGCAAAATATTATATTTTATCTGCGTGCTCTGTTCTATATGTAGTAAGTCTTCAAGCAACTTAAATTGATTTATGATTTCATTATGAGTTTTTTTTCTTTAACCAATTAATCATACATACACGGTTGATGCTGCTTCATGATTCTCGTAATGATGATGGAATCAAGAGCTTCTTCCAAGAGGTCCATGAGCTATATATAAAGGTAATCTTTATTATGCTTGCCAAAATGTATTCCTACCCTATTGAAGTTACTTAGATTGGGCTTGTTTGATATCCTCCCCCCCCCCCCCCCCCCTCCCCGGGGCTGTGGCAGAATAAGTACTGAAAACTATACTGGCTTGTTCCTTTCTTGGCATTAAAATATTTCGCTTCAAAGATTCAAGAATTATCTCGAGGAATTCTTATTGTTAAAATTTTTCATGACCCTTGTTGAGGGGTTTCCTTAAATGAAAATTCATTTCCACTGCTGGATGCAGAACCAGAGTTTTCCACTATCAGGCTTTACTTTGGACACTTTTCTCTTCCCATAATTGCCCTTTGCTCGATATTTAATGTCACATTTATCCTGTTAATTTATTTTCAAGATGAACAAAGCTTCCCGTGTGTTATTTAGCCTCCTCTGTTGATTTGTAGGCACTTCTCTATTTCATCTCCAGGATTCTCTCGAAACCTCCCCTACAACCTTCCATATTTTCTCCACAAAATGGAACTTTTAGAAATAAACTCTTCCTTTCTCACAATGCGTGAGATTGGCTACACAAAATTGCTGTCTTCATGTCTGGGATGTTCTTGATTTGTAACTATAACTGGGGGATAGCTTCTCTGTCATTATACTTTTTGTACAAAAATGATGATTGAATTTATTTGATAATTGCAACTGAGTTTGAAATAGGCTTATATACTGTTTTAAGGAAACTGATGATTTATAAAAAGGCAGGAGCAGTCCAAATTGCTTGGTTGATCCATAAGAATGAGAGTTTTACCAAATATACGAGAGTTGTTTTTCTCAGATTATTTTCATGAACGTAAATAGGAGTTCATGAACAGAGTAGGTGTTTCAACTCTTTGTATTGGTCTCAGACTCGATATTATTCAGTCTACTGCTGCAGGATAAAGAAGATATGTGTTAAACCTTTGGTGAGAGGGAAACAAAGTTGGTAGACGGAGCTACAAAAAAGAAGCATAAGATGAGGAATAACATTGTGTTCAGATAGACTTGGGGGGGGGGGGGGGGGGGGGGGGATGTGCGCATGTGTGTTTTGCTGACTGGAAACGCGAAACCATAATTATCATTATTTTTACCATTGAAAACAAAGAACATAATCGGTGATCTTAGATTAAAGGCAATATTATTTGTGATGTAAACTCGCGGAGGCAAACGCTACGGAACCCATGAACAAGATGAAAATCTTCCCAAAAAAGCCAAAGCAAGGTTTTGAATTTGAATTCGATATTCTGGAACCAAGCAACCTGAATCATGCGGGCCTCTTGTTTACAAAAAATTATAGAATCTCACCCGATTGATTTGAACGCCACAAGAATTAGATCTTGATAAATTTGAAAGTTGTTCAATTGGAAAAACAAAGAAAAAGCAATTAAAGCCTTTCAATTAATCAATATGTCAAAGGTTCTTTACAATGAAGGAATACACTTGTATTTATACTAAATCTTAGAATAGAAGTCCAAAAGGAATAAAATGCTAATAATCTAGTAGAATCTAGAAAATAACCAACCAATATCATAAGAATTTGACTAGGAATAAAATTCTAACAAAAATATGGAAAAAACCTGGATAAAGGAAATTTTGTCCCCGAAATAACATTATGGGACCGCAAGCCCCGTTCTACTATGCGGTGGCATGGTAGACCAGTTTGCCTTTGTTTTCGTCGGCTTGTATTGAGTTGATCCAATTTGATTCGACTCTTGACCCGAACATGAAAGTTGCCTCGTTTTGCGTTCCGAACATCGTTCCATCAATGGTTTCTTGAACGAGCAATCTCATCGCCTCTTTTACTCGCTTCGTCCTCACTCGAGTCATCGGACCACCCTCGACTATCAACAGATCTTTTTTCAGGCTTGACGTTAGACTTGACCTTGACGCTTGCAGCTCCTAGATCACATCATCCCCTTCCTCTTTGAAATGATTCGTTCTCGAATCTGTACCTACATCAAAGAGAGAAAGATCAGATACATTAAAAGTTGTTGAAACGTTATACTCATCTGGAAGATCTAATTTGTATGCGTTGTCATTGATCTTCTCAAGCACTTGAAACGGTCCAGCTCCCTGTGGCAACAACTTTGATTTTCTTTGTTTTGGAAATCGCTCTTTCCTGAAATGCATCCAAACCCAATGTCTTGGTCCGAATGTAACAATTTTTCTGCCCTTGTTTGCTTGCTCTGCATAGTGCTTACTCTTCTTCTCAATTTGCTCTCACACCTTTTCATGGAGTGACTTCACCAGCTCGGCCTTTCTCTTTTCATCCAAGCTACCTCGTTCATTCACAGGCAAAAGTATTAAATCCATAGGTGTTATAGGATTAAAACCATAAACAATTTCAAATGGAGAAAATGATGTAGTGGAGTGTGTGGCCCTATTATATGCAAACTCTATGAAAGGTAAGCACTCTTCTCAATTCTTCAAATTCTTATTAACCAGAGTGCGCAATAGTTGTGTCATAGTCCTATTCACTACTTCAGTTTGTCCATCGGTTTGTGGGTGACAAGTTGTAGAAAATAGTAATTTCGTACCTAACTTATTTCACAAGACCCTCCAAAAGTGACTAAGAAATTTGGCATCCCTATCTGACACAATACTTTTAGGTGCTCCATGCAAGCGCACAATTTCTTTAAAGAACAAGTCTGCAATGTTAGTAACGTCAAATGTGTCATCTTACTAAACTTATCTACTACTACAAAAATCGAATCCCGGCCCTTTTTAGTCCTAGACAAACCTAACACGAAATCCATTGAGATGTCTACCCAAGGTTCACTAAGTACTGACAAAAGTGTATAAAGCCCATGAGGTAAGACCCTAAATTTAGCTTGTTTACAAGTTATGCATCGACTACAAATTCATTCTACATCAACTTTCATTTTAGGCCAATAAAAATGCTCAGTTAATATTTCTAAAGTCTTTACTACCCCAAAGTGACCCATTAGACTCTCACCATGTGCTTCTCTAACCAATAATTCACTCATAGAGCAATTAGGAACACATAATTTGTTTTTTCGAAACAAGTACCCTTCATGTTTAAAGAACCTATCTACAGCCCTCTTATGACATGAATTGTAAATGTTGGAAAATTCAGAATCATTAGCATACATGTCCTTAATATATTCAAAACCAAGCAATTTTGCACTTAAAGTAATTAAAAGCACATACCTTCGCAACAATGCATTTGCTACTACATTTTCCTTACCTTGTTTATAACGAATGACATATGAAAAAGTTTCTATGAATTCCATCTAGCGTGCATGTAGTTTGTTTAACTTACCTTGATCCCGCATATATTTCAGTGATTCATGATCAGAATGAATTACAAACTCCTTTGCCCACAGGTAATGCTGCCATATCTCCAAGGTTCGAACAAATGAATAGAGCTCCTTGTCATACGTAGGATAGTTGAGAGCTGCACCACTTAGCTTCTCACTAAAGTAGGCTATAGGTCTCTTATTCTGCATTAAGACTGCTCCAATACCTATTCCTGATGCATCACATTCAATCTCAAAAGTTTTTGTCAAAGTAAGTTCTAAAACCGGTGCTTTACACAAACAATCTTTGATGGTGTTGAATGCATGTTCTTGTTCTACCCCCATTGAAACCCCACATTTTTCTTGACAATCTCATTTAATGGTGTGGTGATTGTGCTAAAATCCCTGACAAAATGCCTATAAAAACTAGCCAATCTATGAAAACTCCTAACCTCGGTTATGTTTTTAGGTGTCGGCTAATCTTTAATAGCTTTTATTTTCTCTTCATCTACCTCTACACCATTAGCACTAACCACAAAGCCTAGAAACACAACTCTATCCATGCAAAAAGTACACTTCTTAAAATTTGCATAAAGTTGTTTATTTTTCAAAACCACAAGCACACATCTTAGGTGTCTTACATGCTCATCAAGATTCTTGCTATAGATTAAAATGTCATCAAAATAAATTACAACAAATTTTCTAATGAAAGGGCGCAAAACATGGTTTATCAACCGCATAAAAATACTTGGTGCATTTGTGAGTCCAAACGGCATGACTAACCATTCATACAATCCATATTTAGTTTTAAAAGTCGTTTTCCATTCATCACCCTTCCTCACGCGAATTTGATGTTATCCACTTTTAAGATCAATTTTACTGAAAATACATGCACCATGTACCTCATCTAGCATATCATCTAGTCTAGGAATTAGGTGACGATACTTTACCGTAATGTTGTTGATGGCTCTGCAATCTACGCACATTCTCCAAATTCCAACTTTCTTTGGCACCAGCAACACAGGTACTGCACATGAACTCATGTTTTCCCGTACATATCCTTTGTTCATCAATTCCTCAATTTGCCTCTGAAGCTCCTTTGTCTTCTCTAGAGCACTTCGATAAGTCGGTCGATTTGGAATGACAGCGCTAGGTATGAAATCAATTTGGTGCTCAATTCTTCTAATGGGTGGTAGCCCACTAGGCACGTCCTCCGAAAACACGTCTTCAAATTCTTGAAACAAAGAAATAGCCAAACTAGGGAAGGATGTGTAATGCTTCTCATAGTTGAGGAGTGATTCCTTGTAAACCAACAGTATCATTTGTTGCCTCTCAACTATTGCCTTCTTCAATTCACTCCCTCTCATAAAGAAATTTTGTTTCGGCTTTTCTCTCCTCTTGGAGGACTGTCTTTCTTTCCTTTTATGTGGCTCCACTCTCTTTTCCTCTCTATTAGTCACCTCATTATTTTCTCTCTTTTTCCCTAACTCTTTCACTCTCGCTTCTTCTTCATTTTTCAATTGAATTTGGTCCTCATATACTTGTGTCGGTGTTAATGGCGCAAGAGTGATAGACCTCCCATTTTTCACAAAGCTATACTTATTTTTATACCCATCATGCATTGCTTTCCTATCGTACTGCCATGGTCTCCCCAACAATATATGCCCGGCATACATATGTACAACATCGCTTATTACCTCATCATGATATCTACCAATGGAAAAATTAATCAACACCATTTTTTGTCACCTTAACTTCCCCACATTTATTTAGCCATTGTAATTTATAAGGCCTAGTAGGGGTGGACGCGGGTCGGTTCGGTTCGGTTCGGTTCTCTTTAGAACCGAACCGAACCAAACTTTTCGGGTCTCTAGTAAATGGAACCGTCGGGTCCAAATATAATTATGGAACCGTTCGGGTTCGGTTCCATTCGGTTCCGTTCGGATCGGTTCGGTTCCGTTCGGTTCTGTACTATAATTAAATTTTTTAACATTTATAACAACGTTATATAAATACGACTAATGATACATTCAATAGTTTTGGAATGTCAGAGATTAGTAAACTATTTTGTTCAAATAATCGCTACGATCAAAGTTTCAGTCGGGGAAAGTCACGGCTTCGATCGGAGGTCAGAGTGTCGACCGACGATTGTATAGGTTTTGGAATATTAGATAGGCTGCGAGAGTCGAGACAACGTTATGCACTTTATTGTAGGTGTTTAGGATTATTTAGTATATTTGATCTTGTTTGGCTAAGAAATGAAATAATAAAATGAGTAATTGGGCCAAAAATTAAAAAATTAGAAATGAAACAAATTATTGGGCCAAAAATTTGGATTTAGAAATCATTAATTTGTTAATTTGTTTAGAAAAAATTAAAATTAAAATAATTTGATTTAATCAATATAAAAAAAAAGAAAGATTCGGTTCTTATTCGGTTCTTCGGTTCTTGGTCTAGAACCGAGAACCGAACCGTACCCGTCGGTTCTCAATTCAGATACCCGTTCGGGTATTTAATTTGACAAGAACCGTCGGGTTCGGATCGGTTCGGTTCGGGTTCGGTTCGGTCGGTTCGGTTCGGGAGATTTGCCCAGCCCTAAGGCCTAGGATGTGTTAATACTGTCAAACCCAATTTTTCCTCCATGTTAGTGCTAGCCACATTAGTACAACTACCGTCATCTATTATCACACTACATACCTTACCATTGACGTGACATCACGTGTGGAATATGTTTTCTCGCTGTTGCTCCAAGTCATCCGCCTTGATTTGAGCACTAAGAGCTTGACTCGTGACCAACAACTTACTGTTAATTGCATACTCTGCTGTATCTTCTTCATCAACATCCTCCAATCCTGGCATGTCTGCATAATCACTCTCACTTTCAGTTTCCACTTTCCCGTTGTCCCGCAGAATCATGGTTCTCTTGTTTGGACATTGAGAAGCAATGTGCCCCACTCCCAAGCAACGAAAATATTTGATGTCTCTGTTTCTTGATGACTGTGACTTCCCCTTTGGCACGGGCCTGCTAGCACTCTCCTCCTTGCCTTTTGGTACCTCATTTCTTCCTCTTACAACAGTTCCTTCTCCTTTTTTATTGTCCCACTTTGGTTTCCTAGAAGAATTAGAACCCGAAGATCCCGATTGGTACCTTACTGTCCCCTTTTGCTTTAACTACCTCTTGACCTTCATTGTCACATGTAACATGTCTTTAATTTTCACATAGTGCTGCAATTCCACTGTATTTGCAATGTCCCTATTCAATCAGCGTAGAAACCGAGCCATGGTAGCATCACTATCCTTCTCCACATTTGCTCTAATCATTAGTGTTTCCATCTCTTTATGGTAATTTTCCACACTCCTGCGGCCTTGATATAAATTTTGTAATCTTTGATGAAGCTTTCGGTAGTAGTGAGTAGGTACAAACTTGTTCCACATCATATTTTTCAATTCCTCCCATGTATTGATAGGTCGCTCTCTACTTCTCCGCCTCAAAGTCACCACTTGATCCCGCAAAGTGATTGCATAATTCGTGAATTCAAGAACTGCAATTTTCACCTTCTTCTCTCCCGGGTAATTGTGGCAATGAAAGATTAACTCAATTTTCTTCTCCCAGTCCAAGTAAGCCTCCAGATCACTCCTACCTTTGAATGAAGGAATGGTCATTTTAATATTACTCAAATTCTCATCCACCTCGTCTCTATCGAGATTCCTACCTCTCCTTTCTTGCCCAACTCCTCTATTTCTACCCCTTCCAATATCCGCATTCACAATCGCATCTTCATCCATCCCACTATCAACCTCAAATTCACTAAACTCCTCCATCCTAGGTTTCTATCTACCCTGTTTCCGTGCATTAAGACCTCCCCTTCGTGTATTGGCAGGCAATGGATTATGCCTTTCCCCTTGTGCATCCTGCCTATCCATCTGATCCCTCATATCTACACATATCCGCTCAATCCTTTGCACCGAGTCCTCTAGCATGGAAACCCGATCATCAATTCTACCTAAACTCGATCCTTCCCTGTCAAACATCTTAAATCTAAGTTATTTTTTCTGCCTCACAATTGTTCACTTGAAATTTCACTTAATATGGCTTTTTCCCTCGATTGTTCTCACCACTGCCTTTTACCACTCGCTGCTTTCACCAAGTCCCCAAAAGAACAATTTTGGAACTCAATAAAAAATTTAATCACGTGAAATTCAAACTGGTGTAAATGAGATTACAAGACCAAGGAATTTAGAACAATTTGTCTGGCAATTCAAACTAGACAAGTAAAGAAATTGACTTAAGAAGGCAAAACAAGAAAAGAAATTACTAACTGAAAATTTAAACTAGGCACAAAATAATAAATTGACTCAAGAAATAGGTAATTCCCAAGATCAACAATAATAATAACAAATTTATTTATTTATTTATTTTTAAATTTGGATTTTTCTTTTTGGAATTCTTTTTACTGTACGGATGAATAGTAATTTTTTTTTTTTACTCTTGGGATAAAAAAATCAAAAACAAAATTGAAGCAACAAACGGAAGTTGATTTGGATGCAAATTGAATCCAAAAACAACTTTTGAAATTTTTTTATAACTTTTTTGGATTAAAGACTTGAAAATACTAACTGACTCGAAGAATAGTAAAGAAAAGGAATAACTGACTCAACAAGAATTAAAAGGAAATATAACCTTGGATTGGAGCCAATCTCTGATACTAACTGATGTGAATTTGCGTAGGCAAACGCTACAAAACCCACGAACAAGATGGAAATCTTCCCAAGAAAGCCAAAGCTAGGTTTTGGATTTGAATTCGATAAATCTAGAACCAAGCAACCCGAATCGCCGACGATATGCGAACCTCTTGATTACGCAAAATTATGGAATCTCACCTGGTTGATTTGAACGCCACAAGAATTAGATCTTGATAAGTTCGAAAATTGTTCAATTGGAAGAACAAAGAGAAAGCAGTTAAAGCTTTTCAATTAATCAATATGTCAAAGGTTCTTTACAATGAAAGAATAAACTTCTATTTATACTAAATCCTAGAATAGAAGTCTAAAAGGAATAAAATACTAATAATTTAGAAGAATCTCGAAAATAACCAACCAATATCATAAGAATTTGACTAGGAATAAAATTCAAACAAAAATATGGAAAAAAACCAGGAAAAAGGAAATTTCGTCCCGAAAATAACATTATGCGACCACAAGCCTCGTTCTATTATGCGGTCTCATGGTAGACCAGTTTGCCTCCATTTTCGCCGGCTTGTATTAGTTGATCCAATTTGATTTGGCTCTTGACCCGAACATGAAAGTTGCCTCGTTTTGTGTCCCAAACATCGTTCCATTAATGGTTTCTTGAATGAATAATTTCATCGCCTCTTTTACTCGCTTCGTCCTCGCTAAGTCATCGGACCGTTCTCGACTATCAACGGATCTTTCTTCGGGCTTGATGTTGGACTTGACCTTGACGCTTGCGGCTCCTGGATCACATCAATTTGCTATCTTATCCCACCTGTTCATAAGTGTAATTCGAAATTTTGTTTGACAGAATAGGATTATTCCGCTTCAAATGGTTAGGTTACCACGTGAAATAAGTGAATATTTCTATTGGGTTTGGGAGATTTTCCTCTTTTGTCGTTTGCATCTTTCCGTCTCCACCTTGCCTACCAGTCTCTTCTTTAGACTTGTCTTTCTTTTTTCTAATGAAAGTATTTGGAAACCCGCAATATTAACATGGGTTTGGGTAATAATAAATCCTAAATCAAGGAAATGCACTAGTTAGTGATTTGAATGTTTGATCAACTAAAGAATAACCTTCCCGATGGATTGTCCCATACTGAGAGGAAATTTTACAAATTCTTGAAAATTTGTCTATATGTATTTGAAAAAATTTGACATATCTATTAGGCACTGTCATATTTGGTTTAGAAATGAAAGAAAATAAACATGTTATTGGGTGTACTCATACAGAATTATACAATTTGGAGTTTTTATTTTTTTATTTATTTTTTCACCGATAAGACTCTTGTATGAAGACGTACAACATATAAAATCCAATCCTTGACTCCTTTAACTTCTACAACCTAATTCTTTCAACCTGGTTAATTGATTGTTCCTCTGCACTTCTTTTTCCTCAGCAAAAATAACATATTAGCACTGCAAATAATTGTGTAACTGACTGTAGGATTTTTATATGTTTTTTGATGGCTCAAAGTTCTGCATTTTTCTTGGGTAAGATAGTACATTGGTTTGAAATTTATTTCAAAATTTGATTGCAGACTCTTCTTAATCCCCTTTATCTACCTGGAAGTCGTATTACATCATCTCATTTTGACACAAAAGTTCGAGCTCTTGCCAGAAAATATTTGTGAAGCAATCATTTGATTTGATGGTGTCTGGAGCTTGCTGTTATTTTTCTGCCAGCTGTGCTATGTTATCATGTTAATTGGCTGCCAGTGTTGCTATGTTATCAGGACATTTTGTTTCAGTCAAAGTACACTTTTCATGCATGTCAAGAGGGGTTTATCTATTTTTTGATATATTTTATTGACTAATTGTAGCTTAGATCTTTTATAGCTTCATTTAGTTATGGTTCTTCTTTTTAACCTGTTTAATCTCAGTTCATGAATATTTGTTCAAAAGCTTTAGTGCAGTTCACTTTTTCTTTCATCGTTATCTATCAACATGCACATAGAACAATTTCTTTTTTATGTGCACTTCCAATTCCCATCAGATCTGATTGAACTGCGTACCACCTCAGGCCAACTGGGTTTCAGACATCTGGAACTTGGTTTTGAAGAAAATGGTTAAAGTTCCTATGGTCATAAATAGCTTATGGGATGAATCATTTTTTGTTTTCTCAATAGTTCAGAATTGCCTCTGATCATTATATGTCATGTATGATGTGCATTAGAAAAAAATTCAAGTCTAAGGTCTCATGTCTGGTTGTAGTTTGCCAATTATATTTTAAATTTTTTTTAATTTCAACTTGTTTTCTAAATAATCTATAAGACTAGACATTTATATGTATTAGGCCTTGTCCTTGAATGAGGACCATATAGTTGGTGTGGCTGCTGCAGCAAGGAATTTTTTGAATAAATGCACTGCACACCAAGGTAGACAAACTATTTTTGTAATGCGAGATCATCTCTTTCAACTTTATTGTTAATATTGGAGATTGTTAATGTAATAATCCGAACTTGTTCAAGGTGGACATCATCAGAAACATGTTGGTAGCCATGAGCTAGTTGTTGTCTTATTATGGTATATGGTATATGTATGATGTCATGTTATAGGGATTTATAGAAGTCTGTAATTTGAAGATGATGTTTGCCCACTATGGGTGTGGTAACATGTGGTGTTGCTACTCAGCTGTGTGGGTATGATGTAGCAACATCACATGTTGTCACACTGACATTGGGCATTATAACTCTGGGCAGAAGATCAAACCCATTTGCAATAGAGCTTTTATTAGCAATGAAGCTGGAATCTCTGAGCAGACATACAGCCAGGCCATCATGTGGCAGATTTATTAGTATTTTGCAAGGTTTCTTGACAGCCTCATTTATTGATAAAGGAAATTGAGAAATTTGAGTCTCGAGTTAAAAGAAAATAACTGTAGTTTTAGCATCTTGCTGACTGCATGGAAGACAAGCTGTGCGGTAGGAATCCAACTGTAGGTGGTATTGGTTAAAAATCTTTTCACACCATTCAATTTACACCTCTGTCAATTAACATGTTACATGGTTTAAAAGATCCCTGGACATAGCTAGTTGCCCATGACACATCAAACGTCTTGTCTAACATAAAAAGACTTGTCGCCATTATGCTTGTTTTACCTTTTTCGATGTGAAAATACTCGACCAGAACTACATGGATTGTGTGTTAGAAACCATATGCGGTTGTGTAATGCATGTAATGTGATTCAAAGACTTCATGTGCATGTTTGTTACTTCTTACTAATGTAAGAATGAAAAGCAAAAGATTTTAGCCTTTTTTTCCTAATGCATTGCTATTAAGTTTACTCTATCAAACATGCTGGCGTCCCAACTCACAAATCAGCTCGGACACGCAGAACTTGTGGAGATACTATTGTCGATTTAGAGGACATATTAGTGAGTCTCCAGGTCGGTTTAGCCTAAAATTGATGCCATCTAAAAACATCATCATTACAATTTTGAGCATGTCTCCTAAGTGATGTCATTGTTACGTGGATAGTCATTCATAAAACAACAAGTGGCAATCTTTTAGGAATTTGTCTAGCTGATAGGTCATCATAATCTAAGTCACAACTACGACCAAGGAATCAGCAATGATTGGGCGGCCAATATGTTCATTGTAGAGTTCTATAAATAGAACAAATGGTCTCTTCCAATGGATCAAACTCAATGTACTCTTTCATACATTCTAAATTTCAATCAATGCAATTAACCTTCTATTTTTCTTCCAACAATTACTCCACTAAAATTTTGTTAAGTTGATCTATCGACCACATCATTTCTAGTCATCAACAAAACATGCCATAAAATGTCACGAATCTATTCAAAAATTGTGCGGAATGAAAGGGGCTATAGAAACACGAGGCTCTTACTTTCAATGCAAGGACAAGTGACGTTAAGGGGAGATTTTGAGTTTCAATATGTAGTTTTACCATAGGACAAACGGAGAAAAAGTGATGTACTAACCGGAATGACTATTAACAAACAAAACCCCATTGATCATACCAAGTTTGGTCAAGTTTAATATCACTTCTTTGTTTTTACATTTTTGATAGCATCATCTCACGTGCTGTCAAAGAAAGATACTTTTAAGCTTAGTTGAACATACTTTTAAATGTTGAAATTTAATTATGATGTTAACTCAGTGATAAACTTGATCTTATTGGCATCAGTTTGTTGAAATTTACATAAAAAAATAAAAATAAAAATAAAAAGTACAGAAATCAGAAATCGTGAACTAATGTGGGCGTCAATGGATTAGTTTATGTTTTGGTAGGCTAGGAAACGGGTTAGTTGAGTGACCTAACCATTAAACGGCAATGCGCCCCCCCCCCCCCTCTCTCTCTCTCTCTCACACACACACACAACCCCACCCACCCATGCATCCCTAGATGAAGGATCCTTGATTTTGTTAATACCCTTTATTTCATTGCCCCCATTCTCTCTCCCACGGGAGAAAAATTTAAGTGGGGCAAGCAATTTTTTATACGCGTGATAGAACTCGTTTATTTAAATTACGATATCTTGAACGAACCTTGAACCGCTAAATGACGATATAGAGTCTCAAAAGTCTCAACAGTCTTGTATGCACATGTTATAAGACTCGTTTATTCACATTAAGACAGCTCGAACTCCAAACTATTAAAGCCAAGAAGGAAAGACCCTTAATATTTTGTACATTTCCTAATCTCTTAAGTAGGGCAAGAAATCATACATACACTTAATAAAACTCGTCTACTAAAAGCACGATACCTTGGACGAACCTTGAACCACTCAAGTTACGATGTAGAGTCTCATCGATCTTGTCTGCGCACGTTATATAGGGCTCGTCCATTCATATTACGACACCTCAAACTCCTAACTACTAAAATCACAGCATAAGGTGGAAAGATCCTAAATTTTTGTTCATTCCCTAATCCCTCTATTTCAGTGCCTCTCTCACACATGAAAAATTCTCAAGTTTGTTCATGCCATGTATTTCTATTTAGGTGAAATCCTGGGAATTCACAAGAATTTTGTGGCTATTGCTGCAAGAAACAGGAAAAACTATTGGAGCATGAAAATTCCTAAGCTAAAATTAGTTTTGTACATTGAAAACATCGAAAACCTTAAAATCTGTAAAAATCTCCAAGATAACAACATTATGCACATATATATTAACCCAAACTGATTAAAATTCATAGATCTATTCCTAAATCCTATAAATGAAAGATAACAAAGAGAAAAAAGAAAGATAAATAACAAGAGCAGCATCAAAATATGACAATTTGATCACCGGGAAGCACCATCTTTTGCATAAATTTTACATCTTACGCTTGCCGGACTTGAGCGGCCGGCGGCGGTTCTTGTCCTTTTTCGCGAAAGCGCTGCAACACCCACAAGCCGAAACCTTGGGGGAAGGAGGCTCTATCGCCGGAGACACTCTGCCGGTACGGTATCCCCTTCCTCCGCCGTTGGATCGGCTCCTTTCGATAGTCAATCCGGCGGTTCTGGATGAATTCCTAGATGGTGTTGCTGCTGCTGCTGCTGGTGGTTCTTCATTGACTTCTTGTTGTTCTTGTTGAGCTTTGTTTTCAGTTTCATCTTTTTGATTAGCCATTTGCGTCAATTCATTCAAGAATTTGTCTTCCCATACTAATCCCGAGGATCCCTGTCGCCTGAATGACACTGCAGATCTCTGTAATCCAGCCATTCAAGATTTGCACACACCCAAATCTCTCTCTCTCTCTCTCTCTCTCTCTCTCTCTCTCTAGATGTTTCAGTTTTGAATGCCTCTTTAGACTTTTCTTACAATGGGTAGTGTGTGTTTGTATCTATGGGTTGTTTGTATGTATATGTTGCGTGGGGTGGGTTGGCGTGGGGTGGGGTGAGGTGGGGTGGGGTGGAGTGGGGGGCGAGGATAAGATATCACGATGAAATTATGGCTGGCTATAGAAGTGGTCACAAGGAGGCAACTTAGTCAATGCCTTTAGTTAATTTTGTTACAAAATTATTTCACATTTCATGTTTTAATCATTGGTAGTAGACGACAATAAAACAACATTGATTGCAACTAATTAGTTTTGGTGCATGGCTGGTGATAAGATCGTTCAATCAAATTACGACACCTTAAATGATTCAAATCATGAAACTTCGACATTCAATAGATTCAAATATCCATTACGTTTCTATCTTTTACCACTTTGAATATCAAGACATAATGATTTGCAAGATTCAATGTCTGAGATGTCATAATTTGAATAGCAATCCAACATAGCATGATTGTATGATCGTCCATTAAATTTTTTCTCTGGTCATCATCAATGATAATTTTCATTCATTTAATCGTTAAAATTAACATTGACAAGACAATTAAATCAGTGTTATTTAATTGGGACCAAAGATGCATCGAAATTAATATGTTTGGGACAATTTGCTAAGAAAAATATGTTGGAGTTGAAGTTACGATAAATCAATATATAGGTTGGGGTCCAAAGCTGCAAATTTCTTCTAATCTTTTTGAAAAAGTTCCATGGTAGCTTTGATCAATGTCAAAGAAGTCCGTTACGTACAGAATTCAAACTCTGTCAATTTCAGTTAGGAAAAACGAAAAATGCAAGAGGATCAAATAAATGAATATAATATTTACTTAAATCTAGAAAATTCTAGTTTTATTATTTTAAGTTTTGTGTGAGGTACAGATGTACAACTTAAGAAAACGTTCAAATATATTTCGACAAGAAGTAAATTACTTATACACCCATTGTGGATTTCGACAGGAATCAAATTAGTTGTACACAGTTTGACATTATTTGATGTGGCAAAATCGAAATCATTGATTATTTTTAAGTATTGTTTAATTTAATGATAAAATTGTGTGTCATATCATGAAATGTAAGCAAAGCTGTCGACTCAAACTTGAAAGTGTAGCAAAACTGTTTTGACAAGGACCCAAGAGATTGTTGTAATGATGGTTAAATGTGAAAGAAATTAAATTATTATCTATCCGTTGAATTTGTAATAATAAATGACAAAATATTATTATCATTTTAAAACATAACAAAGATAGTCGAGTGCAATCATTACAAGATGTGCTTGTTTGTGCCCTATTATTTGTGAGTAATGTATTATGAAATAGTGATTGATATTGAAATGTGTGGTTAAAAAAGAAGGAAATTTTTTGTATTTACGTGTAATTTTATTTTAATGAAGAATGTGTGATTAAAAATGAGTACTGTAGAAAAAATAATGTAATAGAATATGAAAAAATGGTAGACAAACAAAGCCTAAGTGCTTGTTTGTGTCCCATTATTTGTGAATAATGTATTATGAAATAGTGATTGATGTTGAAATATGTGGTTAAAAAAAGAAAGAATTTTTTTTATTTATGTATAACATTATTTTAATGAAAAATGTGTGGTTGAAAATGAGTACTGTAAAAAAATAATGCGATAGAATATGGTAAAATGAAAGACCAACAAAGCCTAAATATTGTTTTTTCATTGAAATTTCATCATGTTATGTTGATAGTATTGTCAACGTAGAAATAGCGAAAGAGATCAGGAGGGACGGAAACGAATTCGAGAATTTAGAGTTACAAATGTAGAGTTGGAGCATATTCGAATTTAAAAATATTTTGTGATGAACGTACACAAAAATTTTACTAAAATCTTTGAAACTCGTTTATTACTCTTTGGTTTCGATACACTTTATCGGGCAGGCTTGCATGGTTCTAACATATGGATGGCCGTTCAACTCATTAGAAATTGTGTGGCTAAAAAGAGAGGGGAAAGAGAAAAATGCATTTTGGATAAAAATAAAATAAAGCTTAAACATTGACTTACTTATTGTAATGTTTATATCCTCAACTTTTTATATCAATATTATTTTCAAACTTTCATTAATTAACACATTTTATTCTTGATAACAATTTTAGTCCAAAAATTATTATATGAAGCATAAAAAGATTTATTTATCCCTTCGTATTTTTAAATCGACAAAAAGTTACATATACAAAAAGTGCAACTACATATACGCTCCTTATTTAGAAAAATGCTAATATAATTTTTCTGATGAAAGTCGTCATTAAGGATAATGTGCTAATTAATGAAATGTTGATTATTGGAATGTGATGAAAATATTGAAGATGTAATGTAACAATAATTAAGGTTTATGAACAAGGGTTATTAGCACAAAATGCCCTTATGTATGGAGTTCATTGTGCAAAACGTGTCCAAGTTGCTTTTTTTCATCCCTATTTCAACATTTTATTGTGAAAATATCCTTTTCATCTATTTTTATCCAATTTCTCAATAAAAAATTGTAAAATGATGAATATAACCTCATATTTAAATAAAAAAAGGAAAGGAAAAGAAATCAATTTTTTTATATAAAAAAAATGCAAACAGGTCCCAAAAAAATTATTAAAAAAAAAACATTTCTTTCTCTCCCTCCCCCTTTTTTTTTTTTTTTGGTACTCTCTTCCTCCTCCTCCTCCTCCTCCTCCATTTTCGGCAGCACCACTACTCAATCAACCCACCTCACTCAAGAAAGGGAATGAATTTATTGTATAATGGTTTGAAAATCCTTCGGTTTTCATTCTTCATTTTCATGCATACTTCAAAAGAAATAGGAAAATGCAAATTTCAAGTTGCAACATTTTTTTAAACAAATTAATGTATGAAGTATTAGATGAAACAGTGAACAATATTTTTACTTGTTTGATACTAGGTGTTTATTTAAAAATACTATTTACTAAAATGTAAGGCTTAGCATGTCTAAAAGGACAAATAGTTTAAAATGTAATTATTATGAGAAATACACATCCAGTATTCTTCTAATTTCTCCTCTATAAGAGGCCCTTTAATTCAACTCCGGCCTACACTGTGTCATTCTTCCATATCTTTAATCACTCGACCAACCCACCTCATTGAGGGGGTTTCTTGAGTGACTGGGTTGGTTAAGTGGTGGACAAAAAAGAAGAAGAGAGATAAGAGAATTTGTTTTTTGTTTTTAATTTTTTAATAATTTATTTGGGACTCCTTTGCATTTTTTAAAAAAATTAGGAATATGGTTGCAATTATTTTTTATTTTTCTTTACTTTTCTTTTTGTTTTATTTAAATACGAAAGTATATTCGTCACATCACAACTTTTTATTAAGAAATTGAATTAAAATGATGATCTCTTCAATGAAAAGTTGAAATAAGGGTGAAAGTGCAAAAATAATAAAATAATAAAAAATACGACGTTGGGACATTTTGCACATTGAACTCCATGCATAGTGATGTTTTGTGCTAATAACCCAATTAATGCAATTAAAAAAGCATATTTATAAAAATAAAAAATAAATATATAAAACTATGATGGTGTCCATACAACTTATAAAATAATATTGAATAATTAAAATCTTATCTATGATGTTATAAGCCCCCTATTTGAAAGGGATTAAAATTTAGCACTTGCTAATTAATATTACAAGAGTTTGGTATTGGAAATTTACTTAATTATGTACAGTGAAAAATAAAATTAATTTCAGTTCTCATAAGGAATCTACTTTATATTTAAATAAAATATTGTAATTGGAATTATAAATTTGTTGAATTCTTCAAACTCCTTCACTTATCTTGAAAACTTTCAATCACGATCTACAATCCACAAATATCCAATTTGTCTAACTTTTGTTGACTTCTACAAACTCCTTTACTTCTCTTGAACACATTCAATCACGATTTACAATCAACAATTGTCCAATTGTCAAACCTCCAATAAAAATTTACATAGGCGACAAGAGTGAGAAAATTAGTGTTTCTCTTTTCATATGCTAGTAGAATAATAATTGTATTGTGTTATGATTTCTCAAATCCTAGCAGCCTATTGATAAAAGTCCAAGAGGGCTTAGTCCGTCCCTTAAACCCTAGAAATAACCTAAACAATGGAAACTAGGTCAAAATATTCTTGCACGATGCTGCCACTCAGCGGTGTCTAGCGCCAGGTGAGCAACATCCATGTCGGTCAAGCAGGAGCTGAGAGACAGGTCGTCGACAGCTTTTTGCTCTAAAAGTTCGCCTTCTATTTGAGCGGTAGGCTAGCGACAGTCTAGCATCGAAAATCTAACTTTTTCCACTTTGGACCCTATTTTCACATCTTCAAGCCCAATACTCTAAATCAAACAACCCTAAACTAAATTTGGGTCACAAACCCAAAAATCTCCACCTTGACACAAAATTACGGTTTAATGAATGAAGCTCTAAAATTTCTCCACTTTAAACTAAGTCCGACAGCAATGAAACAAAATGACCTCTTCAACCCAAACCAAACTTCTCTAATCACACAAAAATACACTTCCTCTTCTCCAATATCTATCACAGATAAACAAACCGAAACATTGGGTTCTCAAAAAAATTCACAAAGAATTTAGAAATTACCAAATAAGATCAAAACATACCTTGTAGCAGAATCAATTCTTAATGCTTTCATCGAAAGGCCTTGCTAGTCTCGACACCTTCAAAAAAACCCAAAAAACATGCACAACCAAATCACCATCCTCGTATCTATCTCTAATGGTTCTATCCCTAGCAATTGAATACGATGAAACCGCGATAATAGTGGAAAGTGGAATTATCCATATCCTCCAGACTCGACTGAGTAGTATTCTTCAATATAGACCGAGAGTACTATACCATACAAAATATCCACCAAGGTACTAAACATGTGCTGACTTTTCTTCACCGATTCTGCCCAACCTTGCAAGATGTATAATCGGGACCTCTTATACCCCTCCAATACAACACAAACACCCTTTCAGACCTTTAAGACACCACTAGCAC